AAAACCAAAAAATTCAAAACAAAAGTTTGAAAAAAAGAAAAAAAACCCAAACCAAACACTATAAACTTCTCTTTTTTTAAATCTTTCTTCACTAATTTCCAACTTTACACAGATTCTTTTCAATTTTTATGTGAATTTAATAATCTAATTAAAAAATGGCGCATACACCCAAAAATGTAACACTAAATATCTACATTATGACTATATGACTAACTATTTATGAATAATTAACTTCTCAATTGTTACAAAATATTTCACATATTACTTTTGTGATATCTTATATATGTCAATAGCTACATATATAAATATATAAAAAAATAATATAAATGTAAATTTGTATATGTTACTGTATTCATACATTGTCAATCTGTAATGCTATATTACCATCACAGATTTTAATTTTCTAATATGTATCGCTTTAGTAATATAGTTAAATTTGCTAGGAAAAACTGCGGAATTGTGTATTGTTCTTCTATCAACTTATGTTCAATACATATATACATATATGTCATACAACCAATACTTTCCATAACAAACTAAGATTTTGCAAAACATTTCGATCACGACAATAATTGTATTGTTTTTTTCCTTACACAAAAAATCACATTATTGAGGGAAAATTAATTTTGAAATCCATAATAATATGATATCGTCTCAAACTCTTACTCATCAAAATATTTTTATTACGATGAGTTATAATGGTGAGCAAGAAGAAAACAAGAAGATGGTGAAACAAAAACTACAAAAAATCTATTGCAGCTCCAAGCAATGTTAGATGAGTTGAAGTAGGAATTGTCCTATTTGTTGTGATGTTCAAGAAAAACAATGTACCTTATGCACTCATTTTAGTCAAATTACAATGAAAAATTTAAATAATGCCTAAACATTATTGATGTTTTTAGAGAATAACAAGATTAGGGAATGATTAGGATATCATCCCTATTTATATTAATGAAGATTAATAATTATAAGGGAGCCCTAAGTATAGAATAATTACAAAATAATAACCAAAATAATAATATATTATTCTAACACTCCCCCTCAAGTTGGTGCTAAGATATCTCTCATGTCTAGCTTGCCTAAGATGTCATGAAATGGCTTACTTCCAACTCCCTTGGTGAGGATGTCAGCAAGTTGTTCATCAGACTGCACAAAGGGAGTACATATTGTGCCACTAGTGAGTTTCTCCTTAATGAAGTGGCGATCAATTTCAACATGCTTTGTCCTGTCATGTTGAACCGGATTGTGAGCGATGTTGATAGCGGCCTTATTATCACAATATAACCGCATGGAGTCCGTCTGATCAATACCTAGATCACTCAACAATAACTTGATCCATATGAGCTCACACACCCCTTGTGCCATATCTCTAAACTCAACTTCTGCACTTGACCTGGCAACCACATTTTGTTTCTTACTCCTCCAAGTAACTAGGTTGCCTCCAACAAAGGTGCAATACCCTGAAGTCGATCTCCTATCAGTTACTGATCCACCCAGTCAACATCTGTATAGGCTTCTACACGAAGATGATCATACTTTGAAAATAAAGACCCTTACCAGGAGCAGACTTCAAGTACTTCAAAATTCTCATGACAGCCTCGAAGTGAATCTGATGAGGAGCATGCATAAACTGGCTAACCACACTGACAGCAACAGCAATATCAGAACGGGAGTGAGATAGGCAGATAAGCTTACCCACTAAACGTTGATAGCACCCCCTATCAACAGCTACTCCTCCTTCATCATCCCCTAGTTTCTGATTGGGTTCCAGTGGAGTGTCACAAGCCTTGCAGCCAAGCATCCCAATTTCCTTCAATAGGTCAAGCACATACTTCCTCTATAAGATAAATTTCCCTGTTTATATTAATGAAGATTAATAATTACAAGGGAGCCCTAAGCATAGAATAATTACTAAATAATAACCCAAATAATAATATATTATTCTAACACTCCCCCTCAAGTTGGTGCTAAGCTATCTCTCATGCCTAGCTTGCCTAAGATGTCATGAAATGGCTTACTCCCAACTCCCTTGGTGAGGATGTCAGCAAGTTGTTCACCAGACTATAGCGGCTTTATTATCACAGTATAATTGCATGGAGTCCGTCTAGTCAATACCTAGATCACTAAACAATAACTTAATCCATAAGAGCTCACACACCCCTTGTGCCATAGTTCTAAACTCAGCTTCTGCACTTGACTTGGCAATCACATTCTGTTTCTTACTCCTCCAAGTAACTAGGTTGCGTCCAACAAAGGTGCAATACCCTAAAGTTGATCTCCTATCAGTTACTGATCTAGCCCAGTCAGCATCTGTATGGGCTTCCACACGAAGATGATCATACTTCGAAAAATAAAGACCCTTACTAGGAGCAGATTTTAAGTACTTCAAAATTCTCATGACAGCCTCGAAGTGAATCTGATGAGGAGCATGCATAAATTGGCTAACCACACTGACAACAATAGCAATATCAAGACGAGAGTGAGATAGGTAAATGAGCTTACCTACTAATCGCTGATAGCTCCCTTTATCAACAGCTCCTCCTCCTTCATCATCCCCTAGTTTCTGATTCGGTTCCAGTGGAGTGTCACAGGCCTTGCAGCCAAGCATCCTAGTTTCCTTCAACATGTCAAGCACATACTTCCTTTGTGAGATAAATATCTCATCCTTGGAGCGAGCAACTTCATTTCCCAAAAAATACTTCAAGCTCCCCAAGTCTTTGATTTCAAACTCACTGGCTAAATATTTCTTCAATAGAGGTATTTCCTCACTATCATCGCCCGTAAGAATTATGCCATCTACATAAACAATGAGTGCTGTAGTCTTACCACTTGAGGAATGTTTCACAAATAAGGTGTGATCTACCTGACTCTGTTTGAAACCATATTTAAGCATAGCCTGAGTGAATATCTCAAACCAAGCCTTTGGAGACTGTTTAAGACCATATAATGACTTCCGAAGCCTACATATTTTGCCTTCTGTCTGATGATCCTCAAAACTAGGAGGAATGTCCATATATACCTTTTCTTCGAGGTCATCATGAAGAAAGGCATTCTTTACATCAAACCGATGAAGTGGCCAATCTAGATTAGCTGCTAGAGAGAGAAGTACTCTGACTGAATTCATCTTAGCCACGGGTGCAAAGGTCTCCTGATAATCAACGCCATATGTCTGAGTGAACCCTTTTGCCATAAGTCTAGCCTTGTAACGCTCAATAGAACGATCCACTTTGTGTTTCACAGTATACACCCATTTGCATCCCACAGATCGTTTGTCCTTAGGTAACTCAGTCAATTCCCAAGTGCCATTCTTCCTAAGTGCTTTCATTTCCTCAATCATGGCAAATTTCCACTCAGAGGTGGCAAGAGCATCGTGAAAATGGTTAGGAATGCTAACAGAGGAAATATTTGACACAAAAGCTCTATATGAGGACCTAAATATGTTTGGATCAAAAGCAAAAGAACGGATCCAAAATGTGTTCTCCCTATTAAAAGACTAGTCTAGGGCACAATTAATTGATTCAAGCCATCAGCCCAATGTTTAGTGCCTGAAGCGTGAATAAAGTACAGTATAAAATGGGTCTCTCTAGGCCCCACCTACAAGCACCAAGTAATAGGCTACAATTAATTCACATGCCATACACTAAACATATATTTAAAATTAAATAGGCATGGCATTAATTAGGCATCATAATCATTAATAAATAAAAAATTATATACGCCTATAAAATATTCCTCCAAGGCTTGTTACAACATACTTGCCCTATGGTTTTAGTTGAACATCTCCATTTGAGTATTACCTCACCCCCTAACGCCTCAAGTCCCCCATCTCTCCAATAGCACGCATATGTTCTCAAGCCAACCTAGGTTGGAAGTGTGGTCTAGGGACTCCTTTAGGGATGGTGCCACTATTATAGGGCAACCTTGACCTACCCTTTGATCCACACAATGAATCTTTAATCATTTGACTTAGCAGTTGAAGCTAAGTGTTTGTCAATGTATTTTTGCTCCTTCGAGGGACTTGTACGTTAGTTGATCTTAGAGAGAATGGGACTTCTCCATCATCCTTACCCTCTAAGGATGAGTGTTATGCTCATGTGCCTTTATACTAGAGGAGCAAGTCTCATATCTTGACAAATTAAGTTTGTGAAATAATTGTGTCAGGCTAGATAGAGGAGGCCACTTATCTATTGTGCTAATTCACAAACAAACTTACCTCCATGGGCCTGGCTCTCCTGTATGGAGTTTAGTAGTAGGAAACTCTTACGGGGGTCTCGCTCCTGCCCCAACTCCCACTCAAGTTCCCAACCTTAAACTCTTCTATGGGGCCCTTGCTCCCCCTTCTCCACCCTAGCCTCCTCTCCGCTTCGTGCAACTATGGTATGGAGGCTTTCATCTCTTTTATCTTTCTCTTAGAGGTTTTGGTTCTCCATTTCTCTCTCTCTCTCTCTCTCCTCCTCAAGTAATCTCATCTATGACTCATATCATATCCATTGGTCTAATGTGTCCGATTTGTTTTACAATACTTTCCTAATGCACAACCAGCTCAGCCACTTCCATCCACACTTGGCGAAGCATACATAAGAAATGCCTAATTTTGTGCTTCTTTTTTTTTTTTTGGATAAAAATGCATTAAAATTTAAATGAATGTGATGTTCTATCTAATAATTGTTGAAAAAGACAGTTACAGTTATTTTTGGATAGTGCTTTTGAATTTCGTACATGTAAAATATATTAAAATTAAAATGCATATTAATGACCCTAGCCTTTATTTCTTTGGGTTGGTAGCTTTTTTTATGCGTTCAAGAACACAATGTAGCCACCAAAAATGTGAAGTTCATGGATTTGTTATGGCTATTCTTGGAGTTTGCATAATTATTCCTGTGATATAATATTACTTTGTGTAGGATAAAAGCTTTTGCTTTGCTTCCCTGCTTAATCTACTTTTAGTCTGAGAACAGTAAGAGAAATATTTACATTCAACTTTTCTTACTCTTTTTCAGCAAAACAAACAGATTCTGATTGATGCTGTTGTCCATGCTGTGAATGAGGACTATGTTGAGATGGCAAATGACTTCACCAGGCTTGGTTTCCTGGCTAGTGGAACTGATGTCTCACCCATTATACCTGCTTTGGAAGCAATCTGGCAGAACTCTGTTGGTAAAGGACTCTCTGATTTTAATTTCAGAAGTGTTACAGGTAAGATTTATGTCCAATTTTCGTTTAACCCATTCTAGTTTTTGCTCTTGTTTCTTAAAACTGTATCTTTGTTCAATTGGATTCTACTTTATGATGTTCCCAAGTTTTCATAATGAAACAGTATGTTGTTGATTGTGAGGATTGTTATGACAAGTCATGCCTTTCAATCCATATGTCAATATACTTATATGTGTGTGTGTGTATATCTTAAGCTACATAATAATAGGAGTTTTTGGGCAGTACAAAGGCTACTTTCTACTTCTCTCCATTTTATTCTTCATCATATTTTGAATTCGAACCTTATCGCTCTTATTCGTTTATCCCTTATCATTTACTTAAATTTCTTAATTATTTTTTCTTACAAGGTTTGCCTAATGACATCTACATTTTACATTCATTTCTAAACCTAGTCAATTGTTTTTTTCCTTTGATGTTTATATTGTCCGAAAACTCCTTCCTTCTTTTCCCTTCAAGGTTGTATTCATCTTTTCTACAAATTCCTCCTTGTTGAGGGTTTTTCTAAATCCCCCGTCTTCCGTCTGGTCATTCGTTGTGGTTGGCCTATGTGGAGATGGCTGCAGAATCTTTCCACCTTTTGAATTCGAACCTTATCCCTCTTATTCTTTTATCCCTTATCATTTACTTAAATTTCTTAATTATTTTTTCTTACAAGGTTTGCCTAATGACATCTACATTTTACATTCATTTCTAAACCTAGTCAATTGTTTTTTTCCTTGATGTTTATATTGTCCTAAAACTCCTTCCTTTTCTTTTCCCTTCAAGGTTGTATTCATCTTTTCTACAAATTCCTCCTTGCTGAGGGTTTTTCTAAATCCCCCGTCTTCCGTCTGGTCATTCGTTGTGGTTGGCCTATGTGGAGATGGCCGCAGAATCTTTCCACCGTCGCTCTCGTAAGGGGACAGGGGATATGATCTTGGTGGGATTGCGGACTGATCCACTCCGCTGACACCAAAACTTCACAAAAGGGAACAAGGATCTGGGTCCGAAATTAGAGCTAGGTTTTTAATTGGGCCTCAACTGGGAATAGAGGGGTGGGTCACAACTGAAGTATAATGGCTCAAATCAACAAACTTTTTGATTTCAAAGCTTTCCTTGCAAAATAAACTTTTTGATGGAAGTCCAAAACACACATAGATATATATGTTATGTATGTATATTTTTTGGGTATAATTATGAGTTTTTTTTTTTTTTTTTTGATAGCCAAATTTCAATTACAAAAATGCACATTTTCCCACAGATTTAGTGTAGCAAAGATCTTGGGTCTTCTTCCATCCAAGCCTTGAAGCCCTCTTCTTGGAGAACCATTCTTGCAAGATTATGAGCAACCTTTTTCCCTTGTCTTTGAACATGAGAACATGTACTGCAAGAAAAACCCCTCAGCATAACTTGGGTAGCCTGGATTTGAAGTTTAATTAGGTTAAATAATTATGTGTATGTGTGTGTGCACGTGCATGGATATAATTATATTAAATAAACCGAAGTTTGAGAGTTAATAAGTAGTTTAATTAGTTAATATGTGATTAAGTTAAAATTAGGTATATAAGAGAAAAAAGAAAGAGAAAAATAGTATTTTTTGAACAAGGGAAAAATAGTCATTTGATCTACCTATATTAGAACCATATAGGGTAAAGTTCTCTAGCCTCAAACCATAAGGGGGTAAAGTGAATTTTGCCTCATTATTGACAATTTCGCATTGTCACAAGTTAGTTGTAGTAAGAGATTACAGGATCATGCAATCAATTTTGGTTTTACCTCTATATTAAGTAATGAGTATTCAGTTGACCTATGTTGTAAATGCTGCAGGGAAATTCAATCAACTGGTATATCAGTATCCTATCAGAATCCCGGAGAGATTTTCTCTTGTTATACGTTCTTTATTGACTCAAGAGGGAATTTGTTTCACAATGAAGCCGGATTTCAAATTTCTTGAGGTGAACCATTGTTTCTTAAATTTTGTGGACCACAAAATGCATACAAATTGCACATAAGCTTTGGATGAGAGATCACTAGGTTTGTTATTCGTTGGATTTGATAGAGGAGTGTCTCTTTGAAATAATACAAAGAGATTGATAGGTATCATTATCAGTATAATCTCCAGTACTCATTGGTTACACTTGGAACCATTAACCTCTCTCTCTCGATACCTATTGGTTGAAGAAATAAAACAGGACCATGTTGATGGCAAAAAAGATGTCTTATTCACCTGATGTTTATTAATTATAAAACAACATGCACGGCCTGCAACTTAGACTTGTATTTGATGTTTTTTTGTCAAGTGAGTAATTTAATACCAAAAGATAAGATTATAATGCAACTCAATACATGTACCCACTGGTACACACAACCCTGAAGGGCACAGATCTCCCATCAAGAAAAACACTTGAGACAAACAAGCTTAGCCGCAAATAATATCCTCTCAGTTCCAGAAGCTAGACTAGACACAACACCACACCCTAAAAAGAGTCCACCCAAAACCTTCTGCCGGAAAAATAATAGAGCAATAAAACCCGAGGCCATTGAACCAACGTATCCAAAGTGGAAAAAATAATCCAAAGTACTAGTAGTTGATTTCGTCATTCTGCTGGATATATCCAGCAATTGTTTTTTTGATCAATATGTCCAGAAATATGGAGATGTAAACTCTATGTTCAAACATAACATTGTGCATAGGCTTCCCAGAAATGATATTTCATTAACTCAAATTTGGCTTTACTCCAGTGAGACTACAGGCTTCTGGCGTTTTTCAAATTTCATTGCATGAAAGCTAAAATATACTGAACTCTATTAATAATGCTTATGCTCTCATTTATTTGTATCACAGCAATAGAAACAGGAGTACACAAATGACATCAATTATTAGTTATAGGTCAGCTTATACCAGGTTCATAATATCATTGTACTGAAACATTCATAGTCTGATGTTAACCTGAAAAATATACACTGCTTTCTATAATTAAGCACCTCCTGTATTAATGAATTAAGCAAAATATCCCTTTTATGAATTAAGCGAAATAGCCCTCTCATCGCCTTGAAAGCATTGCTGTCAAACTTTTACATCATGCTGTTTATTATTCATGCCTGGTCATTATATGTTTGTTTACTAATAACTGACAGTTTACTAGGTTGCCTATCCATATGTGGCAAAGCGGCTTTTGACAGACCCTAACCCTGCCCTACGGGAACGCCTCATACAGGTCAGTTGGAACCATTCTCAGAAAGATTTTCCAGACTTATTGTTTATGGCTTGTTTGGAGTTAAAATGCTTGAGAACAATTATTTTCAATTTTGGATAGTGCCTTGCCCTATGTTACACAGAAACTTCTTATGCCTAACTAACCAGCACCTTTTGTATTTATTCTAGTTCTTAGTACTAAATCTAGTGATTACAATTCTACCTGGCTGAATCATGTAGAGCAATTGTATTTTGACATGTCTACTGAAAGTCATGTCATGCATTGAGTCACTTCAGCTCATCACAATGTGATGCAGTGTATAATACCTGCTGTAAAATTTTTCACTTGAATTGATTAAACTCCAGGAGCAGTATTTTTAAAAGAAATATCAAATTAGTTACAAGGACAACTCAGAAAATCTAAGCAAGTTTTTAGTTTGTGTTTCATTTTATGCTTGATTTAGTTTATCGTGCTAATAAATTGTAAAAGGTTTTTATTTATTTATTTTTTTAAATATATATATATTTTAAGAATAGAATGGATAAAGAAGGTATTTGGGACTTGAAAGATGATGTTAACACTATGTGAAACTCGATGACCAATTGTATGAGGAGAATCTCAAGGGAAGTTCTTGGAGAGTTGAAAGGAAAGGGACCCAACTTTTGGGAAACTTGGTGGTGGAGGGAGGAGGTCTAAGTGGTAATAAAGACGAAAAAAGAAAGTTTTAAAAAGTGACAGAATGATAGAACTGAGGAAAACCTGAAGAGCTACAGATTGGCTAATAAGGAGGTCAAAAAAGTAGCGTAAGTTGAAAGCCTATGATGACCTATACACTAGACTAGATAGTAAGGAGGGAAAGAAGAGGATATGCAAACTTACTAAGATAAGAGAGACAAAAACAAGAGATTTTAATCAGGTTAAGTGCATCAAGAGTGAGGACTCTAAGGTGTTGGTGAAGAATGAAGAGATTAAGGAGAGGTGGAAGAACTATTTTGATAAGTCGTTAAATAAGGAACATGGAGGTAGGTCAAAAGGAGAGGAAGTAGGCAGTAATAAGGAAAACTAGGACTATAGATTCTATTGTAGGGTTAGGAATTTTGAAGTGGAGATTGCACTTAAGAAGATGAAATCGAATAAGGCTTTAGGATCTGATGATATCCCTATTGAAGCTTGGAAATGTTTGGATAATGAAGAGATTAAGGAGAGGTGAAAGAACTATTTTGAGAAGTCGTTAAATAAGGAACATGGAGGTAGGTCAAAAGGAGAGGAAGTAGGCAGTAATAAGGAAAACTAGGACTATAGATTCTATTGTAGGGTTAGGAATTTTGAAGTGGAGATTGCACTTAAGAAGATGAAATCGAATAAGGCTTTAGGACCTGATGATATCCCTATTGAAGCTTGGAAATGTTTGGGTAAGAAGGGGGCCGTTTGGTTGACTAGGTTATTTAGAAAGATTTTGTTGACTAGGAAAATGCCAGAGGAGTGGAGGAAGAGTATTTTAGTGCCAATATATAAGAATAAAGGAGATGTCTAGAATTGCAACAACTATAGATGAATCAAGCTAATGTGTCATACAATGAAAGTATGTGAGAGAGTGATGGAACGTCGATTGCGAGATATAATAGAGGCATCAGAGAATCAATTTAGGTGTATGCCTGGTAGGTTAACAATGGAAGCGATCTATCTTTTGAGGAGAGTAATAGAAAAGTATAGAGAAAAAAAAAGAGGCATTCATATGGTTTTTATCGATCTTGAGAAAGCATATTATAGAGTGTCTTGGGATATAATCTAGTGGGTGCTAGAGACGAAAAGGGTGACAACAGGTTACATTGATGTGATTAAGGATATGTATGAAGGTGTGGTGACCACTATTAAATCGCCTGTTGGAGAGACACGTGAATTTTCAATTATTGTAGGGTTGTACCAAGGATCAATCTTAAGTCTTTATCTTTTTGCTTTAGTTATGGATGAGTTGACGCGAAATATTTAGGATGATGTGCAATGATGTATGCTTTTTGTAGATGATATTGTGTTATTGAATGAGATTAGAGAAGGAGTTAACACCAAGTTGGAGACTTGGAGAAAAATACTTGAATCTGAAGGATTTAGGATAAGCAGAACTAAAATAGAGTATATAGAATGTAATTTTAGTAACAATCACAATGCAAGCAGAGGAGAAGTGAAGATTGAGACCAAGAACTACCTAAGAGTGAACATTTTCGTTATCTAGGATCGATTATCGCAACGGCTAGGGAGATTGGAGCGGATGTGGTCCATAGAATTAAGGCGGGATGGCTTAAGTGGAGGAGTGCGTTTGGAGTATTGTGCGATAAACGAGTACCCACTAGACTAAAAGAGAAATTCTATAGAATGGCTATTAGACCAACGATGTTGTATGTGACAGAATGTTAGGCAACTAAGAAACAACATGTAGATAAGATGAGTATTGCTGAGATGAGGATGTTAAGGTGGATGTGTGGCAAGACTAGAAAAGACAGAGTTAGAAATGAGTATATTCGAGAATGGGTAAGAGTAGTACCGATAGAAGATAAGTTGAGAGAGAATAGTTTGAGATGGTTTGGTTATATACAACGGAGACCAACGGAGGCAGTAATGAAGAGATGCGATACAATGACAGTAGATAGTAGTGTTAGAGAAAGGGGTAGACCTAGATTGACGTGGACTAGTATAGTAAATAGAGATATGAATTTTCTTAATTTGACAAACGAAATGGCCGTGGATAGAGTCAAGTGGAGAAGAATGATTCATGTAGCCGACCCTATTTGATGGGACTTAAGGCTTGGTTTGGTTTGGTTTGGTTTATTTTGGCGGTCAAGAGTTTGGTAACTTTTGAATTTCCTAGATGTGGGCTGTGGTAACTCTTGAGTTTTAGTATGAGTGATGTTAGCATCGGGGTCTTGTTGTGTGGTGTTGCAAAGCTACAGAATTGGTTTTACGGGTTAGTTTTTCAATGGAGTCCAAATCCTATTTGAGTTAAGAGCACTTAGAACTCTTTGTTTTAAATTTATTTGAGAAGAAATTTAGGCTCCATTTGGATGAGTGGATTTGAAATGAAGGGATTTGTGGTTCAACTTCATAAAACTATTGGATGGTTCACTAGTTGAGGTAGATTGGTAATTTTCAAGTGAATGATTGAATTGAGATAGAAAAGATGTATTTTGTTAAAATCCTTGTACAAGGAGAATCATTTATGGAAGGATTTCAAATAATTACTTATTTCAAATCTACATTCCAAAATTCTATGTTTTATTAAAATCTATTGGTGGGTAGTTGGTGGTGGCTTGGGAGAGGAGGGTTGTGAGGGTGGGGAAGGGGCGGCGGTAGAGGAGGGAAGGGGTTGGGAGGAGGCAACGGGGAAGGAAGAGTGGTAGAGGAGGGATGAGGTGGTACTAGTGTCGGTGTCGGTGTCGAAGATGTGGCAGAGGTTGATGATGGGTTTAGCTAGGGTTAGGGTTTGAAGTTGAAGATGAGGGTAGTATGGGTATCAGGTAGTGTGAATTGAGAGAAATAAAAAAATCAAAATTGTGTGGTGTGCATTGAGAAATGGTGTGTATTGAGATGAATGGTGGTGTGTAAATAGAGCTACTCCTATCCTTGGGAGCCTTAGCAGAATTTGTCATATCCACCAAATTGATTTTGTGAAGCAGAGTTCCACATTGCCAAAGTGCGAAAATGATGTGTAGTATATAAGTGTGGGGGCTCCCTTACCGTAATAGCTAGGTTTTGGGATTGAATTTTACTTGAGACCGTATAACATGGTATTGGAGTTAGAGTACTAGGGATGGGTATAGTGTGTGCCCCTAGCTTGCATGTTGCAGGTGTTGTTGAGTGATAATGCTACATGTGAGGGAGGATGTGAAGTGAAGTCTCACACTGCTTGGGTATGAAAGTAATGTGCAGTCTAAGTGTGAGAGTACCCTCACTTTAATAGCTAACTTTTGGGTTTAAGTTCTACTCAAGATTGTGTAACAGATCCAAGCACTTGTTACAAAACTAACAAACTTCAACTGACAAAACTCACTAGAAATTACTTGTGGAATCAGAGGCTACTCATAGAAGGTTGTAACCTGGAAGAGGAATATAGACAAAATAGTCCAAAAGGTTCAGACAGACATGCTTGAGGCTAAGAACTCATCGAAAACTAAAAAATCAAGTTACATAACCCTCCAGAATGTCAAATCGGCACTCAAGGGTCAAGTTCTAAGCATTGATTCAAGCCAAAACCTCTAATTGAAGATTTTTTTCGAAAATAGCCCCCCTTGTAAGATTTCTGAATGTTTTCTGTATATTCAAAATGTACGTAATACAAAGATTACAACCGATATTTATAGCAATCCTAAACCTAATCTGTAATAGGAAATAACCCTATACAATCAATTTACAATCAATCAAATATGCACAACCAACCTAATTGATATATTTCCATAATTACATAATATTCTCACACCCCCGCTCAAACTCAAGGTGTTTTAACAGAAAACACTGAGAGTTTGCCAAGAAGAAACTGAAATCGAGCAGAGGTGTGAGTCTTCGTAAAGAAATGAGCAAGTTGCAATGCTGAAGAGACGAAGGGAAGCAAGATGGAACCAGACTGCAAATGTTGACGTACAAAATGACAATCAATCTCAATGTGCTTTGCCTGTTCATGAAAGACAGCGTTATGTGCAATCTGAATAGCATTGTAGTTGTCACAGTAAAAGGAGGTCGGAGAAGACTGAGGGACACCTAAATCAGTCAAGAGACAACGAAGCCAGGCAACGAAGCCAAACAATCTCAGCAGTGGCATGAGTCATAGCACGATACGCAACCTCAGCAGTGGAACGCGCAACAACAGTCTGTTTTTTGCTCTTCAAAGAAATCAAGGAATCACCAAGAAACATGCAGAAGCCAGAAGTGGACTTGCGATCAGTGACACCACCAGCCTAATCAGAATCAGCATAAGTTACCAAGTCCAAAGAGGAAGTAGAAGACAATAGTAAACCCTGAAATATAGTACCACA